CAACTTGATAATACGATTCTCGGTATGAATTGCCAAAAAGATCATATCGGTCTGTTGGCATGACCTCCCAGGTAATGACGATATCTATTTGGTGAATGTGTCTTCTTACTGGGGGTGTAAAAGCCTTGTTGGCAATTCCTCAGGACAATGTATTTTTGTCTTTGAGCGATCCCAAGTTATGTCGGGAGTCGGCACGCAAAACCACCCCCATGCGGGTATGGAGTCTAACGGGCTCCGAATGCTGATTTTTTGGCATAATACAGGACTTTGGAATCCAAACACTTGGTCGGAGTTCGGTGGTTCTTTGGTCAACAGTTTCCTCGCCTCCTTTCTCGTCTTTGTTGTAAGAGAGCACGGGCATGATGCAGCGTTTGCACGACGTTTTTGTTATATCTTCTTGAGGGTCAAGCGTAGCCTCTTGACAAAAGTCCATTCATCGTCGTTATTTTAGCAGAGATACGAGTTGATTGGTTGTGAGACGAATGTGAACCACTGCGACTGTCTCCTCGACGTCTTAAGGTCCGGCGTGATGACGAACCCCATCGGTTGTTCCAAGGCCATTAGCCATTTGGCGAGCGGCGGCGTTGGCGTTGTCTCTGACGGAGCTCTTTGTTCGTCAATGCCCCGGGCTTTAATTTGGGAAGGAAACGATGACTCTTTAACTAGATAGGAGGCGCATTGTGAGCAAGAGAGGTGTGCCGAGTAAAATCCTCAGGGCAACAGATCAAGCGAGAAGTCTTCATTTTGTGCCTTCTTTGGAATGTAAGTTCTTCCTCGAATTGTGAGATCGCTCTTATAAACTTGCGAAGACAATGAAGATGCTTGAAGAGGATGATGAGAGATATATCCTCAAACTTGGTTGGTCGATTTCGTATTCGACATGGATCAACTGGAATCTTGATCGGCTGCGACATCGACGGTCTCGGCAGCGAGACCGTTGCTCCACTTGTGGTCGCCAGCTTGTTTGCGTCAAAAGTTAACTTTGTCATGGAATTCATTATATCTTCAGTCGATTACAATAAATTCAAAAAAAAGAGATAGCATTTTTATAAGACTCCTTTTACATAACAAATGGAAAAATTACAACTCTTGAGAAACAAACGCAGGATCGTTGTTTGGATCGCTGCTTGCGTGGGATCTTTGCCTATGCTGGGAGCGCTTTGACTCGTGGACCACCAAATCACATATTCTGATTGAATCGTGAGGGGTTTGATGATTCTTCCTTCGTTTATCGAAGTGAGAATTTGAAACGATATCTTATCAAAGTAAGATAGTCGTTCTTCTTAAGATCAAGTCAAAGCTCGAATCTCAAGGAATTGCCAGAAGCTCAAGAACTCTGCTCTCTCTGCTCTGGATTGTTCTGAAGTGCTCAAAATGACCAGCCCCCTTAAAAATGGCCTTCGGGGGGTATTTATAGCCCCTAGGAATAGTTGGCGGAAAACAAGCTCGCGAGACAGTGTTTGCTGTCTCGGTGGGCGAGACAGTGTTTGTTGTCTCGGCCCGTGAGACAGTAAACACTGTCTCGAAAAACGAATATTCCTGGCGACGGGCGAGACAGTGTTTGCTGTCTCGGCCCGCGAGACAGTAAACGTTGTCTCGGAAACAGTAATTGTCAGGCAGTTTTCATTGTAACTGCCTTCCCACGTTTCAAACTCCGTTATTTTGGCAGTTATCAACGTGATTCTCGCCCACGACGTTTCCCATGTTCTTGAACAGTTAGTGGCCACGTGTTGGCGGTTATGCAAAGTGGTTTTGACCCTCTAAGAGCTGTCTCACGTGCGAGATAGTAAATTCTGTCTTGCACGGCGAGATAGTAAAGACTGTCTCGCAGGGCGAGACAGTAAAAGTCTGTCTCGCCCGCGAGACAGTAAAGATTGTCTCGCACGGCGAGACAGTCAAGTCTGTCTCACGTGCGAGATAGTAAAGACTGTCTCTCGTGCGAGACAGTCTATACTTGTGTTCTTTTTGACATTTTGGATGACTTCCTTTTGAGCTGTGTTTGGATATCTCTCAGCATTTTTTGACGCCTACAAGGCGTACGGGACCTTCGTCATGTGTGCATGCTCTTCCTCTGTCTTCAGTGACTGCTCTTTGAAAAGTCTGAAATGAACACCTAAAGGTGTACTTATTGGTTTAGCATCTTGGATATTAAGCCTGGAGAGTACTTTGTTGATGTACTCAGCCTGTGATAACATCAAAGTCCCAGACTTTGTGTCTCTCTTGATCCTCATTCCAAGAATCTGCTTTGCAGTGCCAAGATCTTTCCTTACGAACTGCTTTGATAATTTTTGCTTCAAATTTATAATCTCTTGCAGATCTAAACCTGCAACGAGCATATCATCAACGTATAACAATAAAATAATAAAGCTATTCTCAAACCTCTTGAGATAGCAACAATGATTTGCTTGGAATCTAGTGAAACCGTTGTTGCCTATAAAGCTATCAAACTTCTTGTACCACTATCTGGGAGCTTGTTTTAATCCATACAAGCTCTTCTTCAAACGGCATATTAGATTTTTCTTGTCTGTCTTTATGAAGCCTTCTGATTGCTTCATATAGATCTCCTCCTCTAAATCACCATGAAGAAAAGATGTTTTTACATCTAACTACTCAAGATGTAAATTTTTAACAACTACAATTTTTAACACCAGTCTGATTGTAGTCAGTTTCACGATCGGAGAGAAAATTTTATTGTAGTCAATACCTTCCTTTTGCTGAAAGCCTTTGACAATCAATCTTTCCTTATAGCGTTTGTTCCCGTTATGCTCTTCTTTGATCTTGTAAATCCACTTGTTATGAAGAGCTTTCTTACCTGGTGGTAATTCAGCTAAGTCCCACGTCTGATTTAACATAAGCGAGTTCATCTCATCTTGCATAGCAGACTCCCACTTGACTAAATTCTCCACCTGCATTGCTTCATCATAACACTCTGGTTCACCAATCATAGCACGTTGGATTGGGTTAGCAATTCTGGGGGAGCGTCTCACTTCTAGCGTGTTTGTTTCTTCTTGAACTACTTTAGGACTAGTTTGAACATCATTTTCAGAAATCTCCTTAAATTCAGCAAATTCATTTGTTTCAGCTTTTGTACTGGAGCTACTTGATTTTGTAGTTGATCTGTCTTTGTACATCATATTCTCATTGAATATGACATCTCTGCTTCTGATGATCTTTCGATTTTCATAATCCCAAAACCGGTAATCAAACTCATCACCACCATAACCAACAAAAGTACATTTGTTAGATTTGGCATCAAGTTTATTTCTTTCAGTAGAATCTATGTGTACATAAGAGATACAACCAAAAACTCTTAAATACGAAAGGTTTACCTCTTTTTTGCTCCAAGCTTCTTCCGGTATTACATCGTCCAAGGGAACTGAGGGCCCGTGGTTGATTAGGTAGGTTGTGGTATTGATAGATTCAGCCCATAGGAACTTGAGCAAGTCGGCATGTATCCTCATGCTTCTGGCACGTTCATTCAAAGTTCTGTTCAAGCGCTCCGCTACGCCATTCTGCTACGGTGTCATGGGAACTGTTTTCTCTCTCTTGATCCCGTTGTTTGTGCAAAAGTCTTTAGATCTACTATCTTTGTACGTACTCTCCTCCATTGTCTGACCTGAATCGTTTTATCTTCAAACCAGTTTTATTTTTCACCATGGCCTTCCATTTTCTGAAGGTATCAAAGATTTCTGATTTCTTCTTTAGAAAATAGACCTACACCTTCCTTGTAGAATCATCAATGAAGGTGACATAGTACAGTGAGCCTACAAGAGATAGAACTGGAGATGGTCCCTATACGTCAGTATGAACCAGTTCTAACTTTTCTACCTTGGGTGTCTTGCCAATCTTTGCAAAACTGACTTTCTTCTGTTTGCCAAAGATGCAATCCTCGCATAGAATCTTTGCAAAACTGACTTTCTTCTGTTTGCCAAAGATGCAATCCTCGCATAGGCCGACATCTACATTCTTCAGATCAAGATGCAATCCTCGCATAGGCCGACATCTACATTCTTCAGATCCGGCAGCTTCCCTTTTGACAGAAGTATCTTCACCCTTTCTCGTTCATATGGCCAAGCCTTTGGTGCCATAGGTTTGATTTTTTATCTGCATCTGTTACTGTAATAATATTCTCTAAGTTAGATGTTACATAGAGAGTACCATTTTTCTTACCTCGAGCAATGACGAGTGCTCATTTGGTAATCTTCCATTCATGACCTGAGAAGGTTGTACAGTAACCCTCTCCATCAATCTATCCTACAGAGATTAAATTCCTTTTAAGGCCAGAAATATGTCTCACTCCTTACAGCTTCCATGTGGTCTGATTTGACAATTTTAATCGAATATCTCTCTTACCAACGATCTTCAAGGTTTCATCATCTGCTAGATGTTCCTTTCCGAAATCACTGCTGACGTAGTTCTCCATGATTTCTTGGCATGGGTGGCATGGAAGGATGCCTCTGAATCAAGAATCTATGATTCAATCTGACTGTTGACGCTTAGAATCATAGCATCACCTCCTTCCTCGGTCACGTTGGCAGACTCCTGTGCGCTGGTATTTTTCTTTGGTGCCCGACACTCCCTCTTGAAATGACATTTCTTGCCACAATTATAGTAGTTAAAATCTTTCTTTTCCGATCTAGATTTGCTCCTTCTAGATTTTGATCTGCCATGATTTGAACTTCTTTCTAAAGTTCTCCCCCTAGACTCTGTGTGTAAAGCTAAAGAGATTGATGCTTCACCCGATTCTCTCCGGCGAATTTCTTCACTAAGAACCAGATCACGAACATTATCAAATTTTAACTTATTGCTTCCCGACGAGCTACTCATAGCTATGACAGTAGCATTCCAACTTTATAGTAGAGAAGACAAAAGTATCAATACTCGTACTTCTTCATCAAACTCAATTCCAACTGAACTCGACTAGGTTGTGACTGTATTGAGTTCATTAAGATGTTGAGCTACCGATGCACCTTCTGTCATTCACAAATTCAACATCCGTCTCAGAGAGCCACCATAAGGCCCGCCGTGATCTTTTCCTTTGCTATGTTGAAAGCAACATTGCGGGATAACGTCAATCGGATAACTCTAAGAGCTTGTCTGTCGAGAAGAGTCCACTCATCACCCTTCATACCATCTGGTTTACTTTCTGAGAGAGGTTGATACAGCTTCTTCTAGTATAGATAATTTTCGATCTGCATCTTCCAAAAGCCGAAGTCCGCACCATTGAACTTCTCAATTTTCACATTCCCTTTGTCTGTAGTCATCGCTCCCACTCGAATCTGACACTCTCTGGATTGTTTCTGACAGCTGTTTCTGCGAAACACTGTGTATTAAGACACATCTGCCGACAAATCGTTGCCACCGGCAAAGTTTCACTATTCACAAAATTTACTATTCACATGAATAGTGACATTGTAGAAAATTGACAGAAATCATAATCAGGGCTCTGATACCAGTTGTTGGGAAATTACGCAAATTCTCCTATAACCAAATTTATGAGAAAGCAAAATAAATACGGAATAATAAGATACGCAAATTTAACGTGGTTCAGCACAAAATTACCTACGTCCACGAGCTGCTACAGATCTTTCACTAAGAGGAGAAAATTTACAAACACTCTCACAAATACTCACAACCCAAATTTCACTCGGAAAATTACTCTCAATTTTCTCTCACTCTTCTATAAGAGAAGTTGTTTCTGGAATGATTTTTTCTGAAGAGTTATGAGCCTATTTATAATGTTTGAAAAAATACTATGCACTAATAAAGATGTTTATTATTTTTATTCTGTTTTTATCTTCGCTTTCGGTAGCTGAGTAGTCAATTAAAATCTGGCAATGATGCATACTTACTCTCGGACTAATGCAAAACCATGTCAGTAACTAGCTTCAACAATAAAATAACTAATATTTACAGACATGAAAGTATATGACAATAATGGAATAAGAATCAACTAGAAATTTGCTTAGGATTCTATGTTTATGAAGTTTTATTGACTAAACTTCATAAAATGTAAAGTGCTCCTCCTACATGCACATTGCTTTCTTTTTTTCCTTTTTTTTCTTTTCTTGTCTGTAATTGTCTCATCTTATTTTTTCCAATTATAAGGGCCCGTTTGAAATATAAGAAGTATTTAAAATAAGAAATAGATCGAAGAATTAACTTCTATGGTTATGAAGTAGGAAATAGCAGATGTGATACTTTTTCTGTTTGTTTTACATATTTTTGAAAGTAGTGGAAATAATACTTCCACCTCAACATTCACTTTTTTGTTTGGATAGAAATTGAAATTATTATGAGGAAGAGAGAGAATAGTTGGGGATTTTATTTAGAAATGTAGAATATCTATGTAATACAAATTTTGATTTTATTCCTAAATTAACTATTGTTTCAGCCACTTCCTAATTATTCTAAGGCTTGAACGTGTGCGTGTTTGTGGAAAAATTTGCAGTAAAAGAAATAAAAGAAAAATTGATTTGTATTCCTTTAATCTCAGTTACAATTGGATTTTCCGATAAAAAGAAGAGAGAAGATCGTGGATTCTCTCCTTTGTTTAATTCCTGGGTTCTTTCTGGGTAGCGGTATGCCTCCCTCGATTGTTTGCGTCGAGTTTGCTTCTCACGTGATCGGATCGAGATATCTATATCACTGGACGGAACCTGTCTTATCTGGTTGATAACTCTTACAGTTTTGTGATTCAGAACAAGCAACAAACTTCAATGATAGAGTTTGTTGGAACCGAAGATAATTCGGTTAATAAGCCAAATGCCGACTGCTTAGAGTTCCTCCGTCTGTTGATTTCCCGACTGTGTAAGGAGTCAATCCTCCTTTTTCTGATTTTGGGAAGATCTGATCGAAGGTCTTCTCCCGAAAATCCACCCTTGACTGATTATCAAAAATCCGATCTCAGCAATCCAAAAAAAGAATCCCTAACTCGTTTTGAGTTTGTTGATATTTATGGGGATAGGGTGTAATTGCCCCATAATCCGCACTTAAGTAGGGGTTTAGTTACCCCATTAATCGGTGTAGACAACCCACTTAAGCCACTCCTCAAATCGGGTGAAAGCGGTCTTCGAAACGCCTGATCGTGTTTGAACAGGTCAGAGCTTTGACATGTGTTCTGGCCTAAATTCTACTGTTGAACGCAGCATCTGGAGGTGCGTTCTGCAGCTATATTGAGCCTGCGTCGACGTCGTTGGAGTTTCGTTCGACGTCGGTTGGAGCTGGCGTGACAGCGATATGAGAGCTGCGTTGAGCAGGCGCTGATAAGCTGCGTTGGGCGCGATGGTTACTAAGCTGCGTTCGAGCTGTGCTGGCAGCCGATGTGAGCTGCGTTCGAGCTGTGCTTGGAGCGATTGGAGCTGGCGTTCGACTGTGGCTTGCACGCGATTGGAGCTGCGTTCGAGCTGTGCTTGGGCAGCGTTGGAGCTGCGTTCGACGCTGTGCTGCAGTGATGGACTGCGTCGAGCTGTTGATTGTTGTTATTTAGATTCTCTGTCTTTATATATTGGATGACACCAAAGACCAGTAAAGAAGGTCTTATTCAGGCCATTTGTGACAATTGTAGGCATCTCAATAACGCTCTATCAACTGACAGTCATGATCTCCCACTAGTGTGTCGAATACATTACACTGACTCGCACCAGCACTCTAATGGTTCTAATATAATATTAGTCATGTTGTTGTCGAGCATCAAGATCAATCACTCCAATAAGATGCTGGCATTCGTGTTTATACTGTTGAGCGGCGTAGGTGATTGATACGTGTAGTGTCTTGATGAGTCACGCCGGGAGGACTTCACACGTCTTGTTTGAAGAGATCGTCGTTTGTAATCCTTTCTGTCAGATATTGGCTAAAGACTGTCGTTTGTAATCTTTGCTTAACTCTTGACATGTGAAAATCTTCGAATTGTAGCCTTCTGGAAGTCGTCAGATTGTAACTTCCATCATCAGTGTTCCGATGGAGACTCAGCTCCATCCTGTGATTTTAGACAGCGCACAGAACCCTCAAAGTTTTCGAAAGTTCGCGGTTGACTCGGAACGAATTTTCGGATACTTGGATCCCAAAACTTTGCTGATTAAATGTATTCCATCGTAAACTGAATAGAGCACCTCAGGGTTTAGGCAAATTCTTGTCGACATCCTCTTCTTGTTGATTCATCAACAATGCTTTAGACTTCAGCTTGTATGACAGACTTCATCCCAAGCTTAGTCAGGGGAGCCAGCTTCGGAGAATCTTCTTGATCAGCTCGTCTGAGGTAAAATGACTCGGCCGTCTGATTATTACTTCGAATATTTACCCCTTGAAGGAGTTATTTATGTGCAGGCTGAGTTCGCCATCAGAACGCACGTCTAACATCATGCGTTCGACTGTTTGATCATGAGGGTGCGTTTGGGAG